CTGATATGAAAATTCACATGACAGGATTTTTTTTTCACATTGCCCGATCCTACTTTGAAGTAATTTTGTCAGGATTTTACTTGCAGGCCAGAAACAATGTACGCTGACAGTGTTCTGTTCTTACCTTGGCACATTAATGTCTCTGTTGCGGGGTCGACGCGCCACCTTGCTGAAGACAATCCGGACACCAACAGCCACCACCAGCGTGAAGGAAATCACTCCTCCAATCACATAGGCTGTACTGGTTTAACAAAATGAGAAAACAAAAAACAAGCCCTAAAAATCAATTTCCCTCTGGGATTAACAAAGTATTTTTGAATTGAATTGAAAAACATGTGCAAAAATCATTTTAGTTGCAAAAGTTTAAAAAGGTAAAAACGGATTTGATGATGACAGTTTGTCCGATTGCTGGGAGAAAGTCAAAAAGTGGAAACGCGTGTTTAACGCCTTTGTTGAAGCAAATTTCGCACGCAAGTTTCACATTTAAAGCAGTGATCCAGAATTTTCAGCATCAGGAATTGTGTATGATTTTTAGAAATCCTAAAAGTGACAGTCTTACTCTGTACTGTCATATAACGGAGGCAATATGTTATGCACTGTTTTTATTTATGCTAAGCCCGTTCCCCATCCCATAGAGTCCCAGCTTGAATTGAGTGCCGTTCAGCATTAGCCAATAGTGTCAGACATCCACCTATGCACAAATGTCAGAGCATGCACGTGCCATTGCAGAAGTAGACTGATGCAGAGTTGGCAACGTTTCGTATGGATGTGTGAATAAACAACATAACGTGACAATAATAATAGTAAAACAATGTGTCTTAGCTATGTTGGCCAGTTACAGGTACACACGTTCACGAAAGGCGTTGTTTTCAGCCATGATCATGGAAGTAAGGAGGAGCTTGAGGTGCAATGTTTTTTTCTCCCACTATGTGGTGCCCTTTGATGAAAAACTCCAGATTTCTGCTTCAAGTGTTATGCCAGGATCACATCAGCTGCAAAGCGCCGTGGAGTGGATCGCTCGCGAAAATTTGCGTGCCGCCTGCTACTCGTGCTAAATCATGGAAACTCTGTGTTTCACTGCAGGAGTGTGTGTGTTTCATAGACTGTACATACTGGACAATACGATTCCATAGGCTCCAATAACACGTTTTTTGTCTATAATGGGAGGTGGCCACCACCGCCATTTTGACCGTGTCACAGGTTGTCCAGCCCAGACAATTCCATAAAAGGGAAGAGAGGAGGAGCTGAGGGTGGGGCTGTAAGGCTGGGATCGAGTGACGACACCCGGGCGAACTAGCTATGAGCTAACCTGAAGCTAACCCTGGCTAACCCAAAGCTAACGCGGAGGTGGGAGCCGAGCTAACGGATGTAGCCACCTAGCTTCAACCCAACCGGAGCTAACTGGATCACCCATCGACCTGGTGTGTTTGTGTCTTTGCACATTTTCATCTTCCTAATCTGTTAGATACACAAAAATGATTACATTTATCACTCACAGTGTTTTATTTTGAAATTTTTCATTATTTTGTTCAATTTACTGGCCTTCCTCTTCTGTTTTGAGTTGACTTCGGTTGGCTTCCTGCCAGAATTGATGCAGCTTGAGAAAAAAATAGAGCACACACTGAAACAATCGCTGCAGGGCACAAGCCTTCGGCTTCGTCATATTGTGCAGCTGATGTGATCGAGACCGTCGGTTAACAAGGGTGCCGAAAAGAAGCGCTCTTTGTTTCAAGGGCGCATCGTTGCGCATGTGTGTCTGATGTGTTCCAGGCGTTAGACTTTTCCACAAAGACGCAGTGGTTTCAGCTGGTGGTTTTAAATAAGCACATACACACCTGCTGCTATGATGCTGCAGCGTCTCAAAGTCCAAATCGGGCTTGTTGCCTGGGGGCAAGGTGACAGGGACCTGCGTTTGGGCCCAGATGGGGGACTTGTAGTTGGTGCAGGAGTTTTGGTCCAGCCGTTGGCCCTGATGCTCGCAGCAGAACCGGTACTGGCAGGTCCCACAGCAGTATATGTAGCTGTCCTTGGTGCAGTTGAATGGATTGTCGAAGTGCCCCATGACGTCAAAGTAACCCCTGCAGAACAAAGAGGATCGGATCAACAGAAGAAGAAAAATCTGTCGCCAGTGTCAGAGGGTTTGCTGTTTCTGCCAGTCAGAATTCCACTGTGCTTTGAAATCAGAAATGTGTCAAAGAAACGGCTAAAAGAAGACACGATTTTAGGTCACAGCGCTTTTTTGTTCTTTTTACAGGACGCCGAGTTTGGCATGAGCCACAAAAAACACCAGAACAGAGGACAGCATAATCCCAGCAGACAGAATTCATAAGAGGTAAATAAAACATTAAAAGATGACATCATTCATCGGCGAGGCACCTGGAACTCATCTTCTGCCGGTCTGAATCTAACCGCGGTTAAAAGTCGCAGTGCGCGGCTCACCAACAGACAGCTGATTTGCAACTGATGATGTGTTGCCTAGCGACAGCAGGACGCCTCAGAGTTCACACGCTATGAGCTTCAGTGAGATCAAGATGAAAGCTGCAGAAGATTCATGATACACCTCGTTTTTATGGCATCCAGGGAAATCGATGCACTAAATGCACAGAAATAAACTCAAGAGCTGTAGAGCAGAAAGAGAACCTTGGATATCACATCTGCTAAAGCTTAAACAGTTTAAATGAAAGCAGATTCAATTTTAATTTTCGTTTTTATATTACAGTATTTTAATGGGTTTTATAACTGAATCTACAGATTTCATCCTCTGTGCTAACCAAGTTAGTTCCATGTCAGAGGGTGTTGTTTTATTTTCTTTGTCCAGCAAGTTCCTGCTGAATGTATGCAGAAACTTGCTGACCGCTGCTGGTCGAAGCAAGCCCACCGGTCACACTTCATTCCAACCTGATCCTGTCATGCACACTGTCCCACTCAGCTTTTTATCTGCTGCCTGTTGTTTTTATTTTCAGTTCTGCACATTGTTTCCCATGATGCATGTTTTATTTATGTCAACATATTTTGTCCGCATTTGCATCGGAACCAATCTGGGCCTTGGGGCTAACTTGTAAATAGTAGCTACCAGTTGTGCAGCTTCTTATGTCTTGATTGATCCATCATGGTGATAAATGATTGGCTGGCTAACAGCTGCCTGAATGAAGATAAAACAGAGAACATTGCCATTGATCCAAATGCAAGAGGTCCCGGGGCTGGAGGCTAGGAGGGAGATCTGGCCGTCTGGTTGGGGTCTGGGGTGGTGGGTTGCTTTGCTCAGCGTTGGGCGGGGGAGCCTGCTCATCAGCACCCCAGCAGAAAGGGTCGAACTCTGGTTACCTGTGATGGTTATACCCCATGTGCAGCAGTACCGGGACCAGAGTGAATAGGGTGTGTATGGGGAGCATGAGTGGGTGTCCGGCGTGCATTTTTATAAGTCTTTGGTTGTTTGTGTATGTGTGAGCATGAGGGAGGGAGTGTGTGACTGTGTTTGTGTATGACTGTATATGTCAGGTGGGGCCTTTGACTCCTCCCTTCTCCTGGGACTTCTTTGATGATATAGATCTTCGCCTCCTCTCTCCCTGCCCACCTGGGGTGGAGTGCGGTGCCTTGGTCTGCCTGAGCGTTCGCGGCTCCCGGGTCAGGGGGTTTAATATTTTTAGCGTCTGCCTGATTAATCCCGGTGGCTGCCTGGTGGGATCTGGGTCCCTGGGCTCTGTTGGGTCCCCAGCGGGACTCGTCGCCCCTGGGTCCTGTGTCGCTGGGTTCCGGGCTCTGCCGGCTTGGGGGTGGGAGGCTGCAGGCAGGCCTGTGGGCTTGCCGCTGATATCCCCCGGGACTCTGCCGGCTGCTGGTTGTGGCCCCCTGGGGCGACCCTCTGCACCTCTCGAGGGGGGCTGTGGCTTTTCCGGTCGCAGTCTCCCTGGGGTCCCTGCGCTCTGGGGCAGTTCCTGGACCTCTGAGACTTGGAGCTCCCTCCATCTCCTACGCATCTCTGGGGGTCAGATCTGTGGCCCCTCACACTCTCTATTAGACGCTCCTATAGAGAAACCTTACATATACAAGCGCGTATACGCACACAGGTGCTCACATGGTGCTCTCGTAAGTATGGACTTGGGCACGTTCAACACATGTCTTAAGGCTGTGGTTGGCACTTAATGCACTGTGATTTATTATCGTGATTGTTCAGTAAAACAATGTTGATTTTATATTTCTTCATCAGGTCGAAGTAGTGATAGCTTGCTCCTGTTGTTTTGCTGTGTGTCCCTTTTCTTTTTTTTCTCTCTTCTTCTGCGGGTCTAGAAGCAGACTCTTGTTCATCTGTGATTGTTTGTTTTAGTGGAATCTTCGACTTAGGGGTTAAACTTGACTCGAGACTTAACCTAAAGGACCATATAAACGAATCTCCATTAACTAAATTTAGTCCTTGCTATCGAGTGCCTGCCTTGAAACGTGCTTTTAACACTTTGCGTTTGGACTACTGTAACTCCATGTGCAGCGGTGTTAACCAGTTATGACTTTCTAGACTACGAGTGGCGCAGAACTTGTCAGGCAGATTTTTGACGGGCACTAAACACCGTGACCATATTACACCTGTTCAAACCTCCCTTAAGTGGCTCCCTATCCCCTACAGAATTCGGTTTAAGCTCATCAACTCGGTCTTTAATTGTCTACAGGTCCATCATACTTGACAGACCTTCTGGATCTCCCTATACTCCCTCCCATGAACTATGCTCACAACATCTTGAAATACGGATGATCCTGTGGATTTGGTGTGGCTCTTAGGAGGGAGGGGTTGTGCGTTTTCATACCTGGCCCCCAAAGAATGAATTTCAACTCCCTGTCAGGCATGCACTGCCATCAGTTCTTAAAAACCATCTGAAGACTCAATATTGTACCATTGCCTTTGCAGGCACCTGTTGCATCTTCTCTTTTTATCTGTTCTTTTAGTAACTCAAGTACATTTCTCAAGAATGTTTTTGTTGGTTATCTGCTGTGCTTTTTATTTTATGAATTGTATGTGTATAGAACCTTTAGGGTTCTACAACCCCTAAAGGCGTCATTCATCAACTCACACACACACATTCACACACTGGCGATGAGTCTCATTGCAGCTACAGCTGTCCTAGGGTGCACTGACAGACATGAGGATGCCAAAAACTGTCCCTCCAATCACCACCAGCAAGTTACGACTGCAACAGACTGAGCAGTACTCAATCCCACAACCTTCCAGTTATGAGTCGGTCACTTAACTCTTCTGCCATGTTCAGTGCTTTGGGTTTATTTTGGTCACTGAAGGTGCTACACAAAAAGAACCAATGATGATGATGATAAATATGAAAGATAGACCATCAAAATTCACAGCATCACTTCTGATCTTAGCAGTTGAGGAAGGACGAGACCTACGTGGACCGGGTAGGTTGGGTCCTTACAACAATGCTATCCTTGAAATTGGAGAATGCTGCTATAGGCTTAGACTGCTGGAGGACACACTGACCACTTTCCACACTCTACTACTTTCTTCTACAATCTGCTGTTTAACTGTATTAATTCCTGCGATTTCAGCTGTTAATTTTATTTTTTCTCTGTTTTTCTCCCCAGAAGAAGCTACAATGATGTTCTGCTGAGCTGTGGTGGCCGGATGGAGGGGACCATCGTCTAGCACACTGCTGCTAACCACTAAAACATTCTCCCTCTCCTGAAAATAACTCTTTACATTCTTTGACATTGAATGTGCTACTACTAGTTTATCCGTTTAATTATAGATCCACTAGGATAAATACAATCAAGTTTATCTCTCACCTAATAGAATATTTACTAAGACATCACAATATAACTATAGACACACTACTTGGTGTGTGTGTGTGTGTGTGTGTGTGTGTGTGTGTGTGTGTGTGTGTGTGTGTGTGTGTGTGTGTGTGTGTGTGTGTGTGTGTGTGTGTGTGTGTGTGTGTGTGTGTGTGTGTGTGTGTGCTCTGTCTTCTCCATCCCCAGTGAGTCGTGGAGGATGGCTGCTTATACTGAGCCAGGATTCTCTGGAGGTTTCTTCCTGTTAAAAGGGAGTTTTCCTCTCCACTGTCGCTAAATGCTTGCTTAGTATGAGGATTGCTGTATAGTCACTGACACTAGTCAGTGACTTGATGTAATTTGCTGGGTTCCTTATATAGGAAACTTTTTTCTGATTGGCTTAATGAACTGACCTGAATTGGAATGTTTATTATGTGAAGTGCCTTGAGACGACTCTTGTCGTGATTTGGCGCTTTATAAATAAACTTGAATTGAATTGAATTGAACTGAACTGAACTGAATAGAATTGAGTTAACCAATCAGTAACCCTCTTCTGCCTACCCCTTTGAAAAACGTCTAAGGGTTCTTTGAAAGTTATGGCAAGCTGAAGAAAAGAGGTCTGCTGTAGGCTTTCAGACGTTCCTATTAAACAAAATTCATTGTAGAGCCATGTCTACACAGTAATTGATTTGGTAGAACATTATACAACTGACCAAAGTCTTTTGAACGGCTCTTTGAGGTAAACGGCTCTCAAATGAAAGGCTTTCTTCAAAGACTCATAAGTCCCATAACTAGTTACCAGGATAATCAATATGCCTTGTCGCGACAAAGAAAACTTAAGTTAGCATTAGCCCCCCTATCAGCTAACTGGTTAATTAAATAGGCTCTGTCAAGTTTGGGCTAGTAAACTTCACACTGAAGCATAGATGTTGTCCAACAAGTAAAAGTTGAAGAAACGTCAGTGTCCTGAATATCATCATCAGCAAGACAAATAGGACATAAATAAAATATCAGATTTTAGAAAAAAAAAACAACAGAAAATACAATAAACCTTTTCTTAATTCATTTGATATTAAATACAACAGATAACAATAACTTACTTGCAAGTATCCACGTTCACCAGTTGTTTGGGGGCAGGAGCCACCTGGGCGCCACTGAATGGAGGATCCAGCATAGCTTTCGAATGGTTCTTTCGCAACATGGTCTGTGGGAGGGGCTTTTGAGGGAGTTCAGCCATCGCCGGCGGATCATCTCCATCCTCCATCTCAGCTGTTTTTGGTGCCACTATGGATCCAACTGGCGGCTTGTAGCCAGTCAGGAGAAACAAAGTGGAGCTTATTTTTCCAACCGCCACAGAGTTCCTGCTGCTGCCAAGCGTCCTGACGTCATTGTCCGCAGCTCGCCGCTCTGTAACGAGGGTTACAGTGGAAACAGGGAGGCAGTAGAACAACAGGAGGATGATGGAAAAGGAAAAGATCCTTTTTGAAACTGTAGTTTCCATTGGTCTTAGACAAAGTTTTTGATTCGCCATTAATAAAAAAATCAATTATCAGTGTCCTTTAGATGAAAAATGTTTGAATTATAAAAATTGTCTCTATGAAAAGTTTCCACCTCAGTCCGATGAACTAGTCCCTTGACGTTTTGTTCAGGTACAAGGGTAGGAGTTGAGCAGCTGTATCATGAATGAGTTTGGCATTTCATTCCATCTGACTGTAAACATGTCTTTGCTTACAAATCCCTCCTGAAAGCAGCTTGTGTAAACATTGAGGTCTTTCAGAAATTCCAGGCCCTAGAGGATCTGCCCGTAGGGCAGTTTAAACGAATCTCCAAACCAATTATGAGCACAGATCCATATGAATTAGCTGTATGGCACCAGGTTTTGGATGATTAAATAATTTTGGTCTACTGGCTGACAAAAGGACATATTTCCCCTCTGGACAAAATGGCAGTATTTATATACTTTCTGCAAACCAAAGATGTTTGAGAAAACTGTAAACTGTTAACAGAATGTCCCACTGGAAAAAGACGTATTCCTCTGCTGTTCTGGGAGCAGCGTTTGGCACAAAAGTCGTGATTCAATGCAAAAAACTGCGATGGAAATTGTGGTCTGTAAACATTTAGTGTTTCATGTAAACTTTCTTTAGCTAAACCTATTCTTCTCTGAGTTTGGCACTTCCTGTGTGAATGAGTAAAATCATACATGCAAACCAAGGTATTTTTTCTTGTGTCTGTGACCAACAGTGCTGAGAGTCTCTGACAATCTCAGCTTTGTTTAGAGGACAAGATAAAAGGAAACCTGTTCCGCATCGCTCGAGCTTTCTCTTCAATTTGTATTTCCCCTCCTTTTTTATCCTTTTAACAATTTAATAACTCCCAAGGAACTTTCGGGACGAGAATCAGTAAAGGTAGAAACGTTTTTAAATTTGGTCTAAATAATAAAAGAGAATAAACGTACTGCTAATGAATGGCATGAATTTTTCTTCCAGCAGCTACTAGTGAACAAAGATCAGTTTGTGTGAAGGCATTCACAAGAGCGTGAACGACAGCGAGGAGCTGGTGGCGATGTGGTGAAAAAAATAAGATTTTTATAATACGTGGATCTATGTGCGTTCAGGACTCTTGTGTGAATGTCTTTGTTCTGAGTTTAGCTTGGCCCAACAGAAGAGAACAAAAGAGGGCTTGGGCCCGGTTCTAGCAGGGCAGCGAGGTTCTGCCCACAGAAAAGACATGGAAATGCCTGGATTCATCCGTCAACGCAGAGGAACTCGGGATGAAAACGGGGAACTGGACACAGTCGCCGTCACGCCTCGATAACAATGTTGGTCTGATCGCAGATCCGCAGCGGGAAGTGATCTAGAAAAACGCACGTAGAAAAATTCTGAACTTACAAAGCTGTTCTTTCATCCAAATGTAAGAAATCTTTTATATTTTTTAAAACGTTTCACTAGCGGTTCTCTCGTTGATTCCCTGAATGTGTTCGTGCACCGATGCGATAGAAAAAGTCACCGTTGGAGAAAGATCTAAAACGGCGTGAGAAGCTTCGTTGATGTAAAAGGGTTTCTGTATGGCTGGTGTTTGGTATGGCTTCAGGTTACGTTCTCTTTTTACAAAATCCTCCTCCGTTCAAAGAAAAGCAAAACTCGACAACAGTGAAAGGTTTTTGATTGCATGTTGTTAGTAGAGTCAAAGGAAGAATGCTAAAGAAATCAGAGAGGTCACTGGGAATAGGTAAAGGGACCGTTCACGTTGTTGGGTAGAGTCAAGAGCCGCGTACGGAAGAAACGAGACAACAACGAGCTTCGTTAAAATAAGCAACTGGAAGAAGGAGATAGGCAAAGTGTCAGCAGTGTTTCACAGCGCAGATTGAGAGGACGGGTGTGTTTTTAGGCCTTTCAGATAGCAGCAGAAGCAGCGGTGGAGGCAGTCGAGCGGGGATTTATCGGTTTAGACGTGGCTTGTGTTACCCGTCAGTCAAACCAAGTCCTGATGATGCGTTCTAATCTTCAGACGACGTCAGAGAGCTATCACTGCTTACCGCGTGCTTCCTCCGTCACTCAGAACTACAAGAAAAAGCATCTGTGTATAAAGCACTTTGAACCAATAATGCACGCGGTTCCCGCATAAAGAGCAGCAAACACTGAATGGAGATAACTTATTCAGGGTGGATGAAATTAATTAGGGCTTAAATTTGATAAGTGATGTTTAATGTAAATGTGGGTTAAATGGGGAAGAATTAAAGGAATATCTTAATATTAAAAACGGTGGGATTATCTGAAGATCAGTAGTTCCATTGAAGAATTTCTTTCTTTATGTTTTGACTCAGTCAGTATGGTATCTCTGGTTTTGGTCTTGCATGAAACAACAGTGGGAAAAGAAATTGGAATCAGCTTGCTGGAGTCTTGGCTTTGCTCGCAGGAAAGCTTGTAAAAGATTTCCCTTAATCTTCCAGTTGGTGTGGACCGGATCAGCCTGGCCAATCTTCTTCTTCTGCACACCAGTTTTCACTCTGCAAAAGAAAGAGACGTTTAAGCTGATTGCTAATGCTGATGCAGTTTGTGCAAAATAGTCCATAGTTCTAGGTTTGGTTTTCCAGCATGGGAAGATAAAAATGTAACAGAGGTGTCTGACCTGAGTTTTCCTTACATATAATAATAATAATAATAATAATGATGCATTGAACTTATTAGGGATGTGTATTTTTGAAATTCTGGCGATACGATACATATCACGATACAGGGGAGACGATACGATATATCACGATATATTGCGATACATTCAGTCAGACGTTACAAGCAATTTTTTTTACTGAATTTATTGTAAGAATGTTCAATAAACAGTCCAAACTGATACGTAACATGTTTAACGTGAGGTATCTGAACCATGATAGAGGGATTTACATTTCAGTGGTGGAAACAAAACCCGCTGCACACTGCTGCCAACTAGCGGGTGGCGATTGAATTGAGCAAAACGAAAAGAAAATACACAAATGTTTGCATGTAAATTCTTTCAAGAATTAGATACGTGGCTTTTGAATATCGATGTAATAATCGCAGGAAAAAATAGCACGATATATTGCCATATCGATATTTACGATACACGGCTTTTGAATATCGATATAATATTGCTGGGAAAAATATCACGATATATTGCCATATCGATATTTTCTTACATCCCTAGAACTTATATAGCGCTTTTCTTGACACCCAAAGACGCTTTCACACACTCTCACATTCACACACTGCTAGTGATGATAAGCTACTTGTAGCCACAGCCGTCTGACAGAGGCGAGGCTGCCATTTGGCGCCGTCGGCCCCTCTGACCACCACTAACACAGAAATATATACATATATATGGCCAATGAAAGAAAATCCCAAAATGGTCACAGAAATAACTGGAGCAGTTTGCTCATGAGGAGTGGGCCGAAACACCTGCTGGGAGGTGCAGAAATCTAATTGACAGTTACAGGAATCATTTTATTGCAGTGATTGGCTCAGTTGTGCAGTTATTTCTGTGATCATTGTGGGTTTTTCACAGACCGAAGAATACCAACAATTTTGTCCACGTCAGTACATATATATTAGGGATGAGCGAGTACACCACTATCTGTATCTGTACTCGGAGTGGGTGTGGTTTAACCGGAAGTGGGTGTGGTTTACATCAATATATTATTTTAAGTCTGAAATTGATATGGAATGATCAGAAGTTGCTATGTGTATTGTTTATTTGAAAACTATTTACAGAGCAGCCTCAGAATTGAGATTAAATATTTTTAATCACAATAGTAAAGGAACTATTTCAGAACAAGTGTTTCAATAAAACCAGAACATTAATATTTAAGTGCATGGATTAATACATTTGAACTCATGCAGTAGGAACTAGGAAATATGAAATGCTAGAACCAGACACAACTTTATATATGTTTTTTTTTATTTGATTAAACAGATTTTTTTCTTAACGTTCTTGGCATTTTCCCACACAAAGTTAAACAAAACAATGTTGATTAAGGTGTGTGTGTGTGTGTGTGAGAGAGATAAAGAGGGTGAGAGGGAGAGAGATGGAGTTAAAAAAATTAAAAACCCGACCGGAGCGGAGGTAGTGAGTTAATGCAGCACGTCAGCTCTGTCTTGTTAAATACACCACGTAAGTTACGAAAAAAGTAACTTTAAATATTCAACCGAAAAAGAGGCGAGCTGAAGAAAACCTAGGGAAAACTGAAGAAACGTGAACAGTGAAGCAATCACAGCGAGATCCTTTACTGTCTGTGTGTGCGTGGATGAGCCGGATAGACTGCGCTCCTGACCGGCTAGAGAGTTTTGTGTGTAGGGAGGGGCGGGCGCTCTATGTGACTGGCCAATCACAGAGCGTGAAGACAGTCAGTTACCCAATGAGGATTTTCCTTCTGCACGATTACAGATATTTACTAGGTTTACTCGTTTCATGCTCGTATTCGGCAAAAATGCTTTATCCGTACCGGATACTCGTCTGAAACGAGTATCCGGCTCATCCCTATTATATATGTATATATATATATAATATTGCATGGACATCGGGGGCAGTCCCACTGGGCTGGCAGACCAGGGTGGTGGTTCCCTTATTTAAAAAGGGATACCGCTGGATGTGGGGATCAAACTCCTAAGCCTTCCTGGTAAGGTCTATTCAGGGGTTCTGGAGAGGAGGGTCCGTCAGATTGTTGAAACTCAGATTCAGGAGGAGCAAAGTGGTTTTCGTCCTGGCCGTGGACCACTGGACCAGCACTATACTCTTAGGGGGTTCCTGGAGGGTGCGTGGGAATTTGCCCAACCAATCTACATGTGTTTCGTGGATTTGGAGAAGGCGTTTGACCGCGTCCTCCGGGGGGCCCTGTGGGGGGTACTCCGGGAGTATGGTGTACCAGGCCCTTTGATACGGGCTGTTAGGTTCCTGTATGATTGTGTCAGAGCTTGGTCCGCATTGCCGGCAGTAAGTCGGGCTCATTCCCAGTGAGAGTTGGACTCTTCCAAGGCTGCCCTTTGTCACCGATTCTGTTCATAACCTTTATGGACAGGATTTCTAGACACAGCCAAGGTGTGGAGGGCATCCGTTTTGGTGGCCTGAGGATCAGGTCTCTGCTTTTTGCAGATGATGTGGTCCTGTTGGCTTCATCAGAACGTGATCTTCAGCTTTCGCTGGAGCAGTTCGCAGCCGAGTGTGAAGCAGCTGGGATGAGAATCAGCTCCTCTAAATCTGAGACCATGGTCTTGATTCGGAAAAAGGTAGAATGCCTTCTCCGGGTCAGGGATGAGGTCCTGCCCCAAGTGGAGGAGTTTAAGTATCTCGGGGTCTTGTTCACGAGTGAGGGAAAACTGGAGCGTGAGATGGATAGACGGATTGGTGCTGCATCTGCAGTGATGCGGGCGTTGTACCGGTCTGCCATGGTGAAGAGAGAGCTGAGTCAGAAGGCGAAGCTCTCGATTTACCGGTCGATCTACATTCCTACCCTCACCTATGGTCATGAGCTTTGGGTAATGACCGAAAGAACGAGATCGCTGATACAAGCGGCCGAAATGAGTTTTCTCCGAAGAGTGGCTGGGCTCTCCCTTAGAGATAGGGTGAGAAGCTCTGTCATCCGGGAGGGGCTCAGAGTAGACCTGCTGCTCCTCCACATCGAGAGGAGCCAGTTGAGGTGGCTCAGGCATCTGGTCAGGATGTTGCCCGGATGCCTCCCTGGTGAGGTTTTCCGGGCAAGTCCAACCGGTTGGAGGCCTAAAGGTAGACCCAGGACACGGTGGAGGGACTATGTCTCTCACCTGGCCAGGGAGCGCCCTGGGATTCCCCCGGAGGAGCTGGCCCAAGTGGCTGGTGAGAGGGAAGTCTGGGCCTCTCGCCTTGGGCTACTTTCCCAGCGACCCGACTCCGGATAAGCGGATGAAAATGAATGGATTGATGGATGGATGGATGGATGGATGGATGAACACACACCCCTAGAGTACACCTTATAAATGATCCAGGACTGTGATATACTTGAAGCTTGTCCATTGTAACCCCACTTCTCTCCCATTAGACAGGCACCAGTTCCCCCATCACCCTGTTCAGGAACAAGCCAGTATAGAGATTGGATGAACAGACATTAAGAAAAATGTGGCTTCAATATAGATAACAGAAAACCTTTACTTTAATACACTGTGCACAGTTAATCCATGGTTATCACTGCAGTGCAATCTGTATTGTTTTGCATTCAAGGGATTGTTAGCTTCACTTTGCTGAGTCAGATGTTTTAGCAGACAGCAGCACTCGGAATACAAATTTGGCTTCAACAATACACCAGAAAATTCTCAAAAAAATATTTTAGATGGAATTAAAGTACTGTGGAAAGTCTGATTTCGTGAAGGTACAGGCCGAGGGGTTTGGAGCAATTTCAGGCATCTTCTTAAAATATCTGCTGCAACACAGATGTGTACATAAAACAGGAGCTGACAGCAGAGGTGGGAGAAGTCGCCATCTGACCGTGATAAAGTGAGAGCAGAGGGATGTGACAGATGTCATACGGACTCATGTGACCGAAGGACAGAAGAAGAAATGGATCACAGATGTGTGTGTGTGTGTGTGTGTGTGTGTGTGTGTGTGTGTGTGTGTGTGTGTGTGTGTGTGTGTGTGCGTGTGTGCGTGTGCGTGTGCGTGTGTGTGTGTTTGTGTGTGTGTGTGTGTTTGTGTGTGTGTGTTCTGTTTACAGAATGAGGCCTCTAGCCCTGGGAGAGGGAGGGATTCAGCATAACAGTGTTCTCAACAACACTGAATTGTTAATCTTTGGTCACTTAATCAGTGATTTATCCATAGATGTGGATTATTTTTGGCAAATTCCTTCTGAAAAATAAGCATGATTTGTTTTGAGTTTTATGAAGCAAAACATTTCAGATTATCTACATTGAGTCTGTTTTTAAAGTCTTTGGTAAGACCCGACCAGGATTCAAACCGTGATCTTCCAATCCCAGGGCAGACACTCCACCACAAGACCACTGACCATGTTTTTTTGTAAAATAAAGACAAAGAAGGGTTCATAAAACATAATAGTAGTAATTGTTACACCTTATGATTCAATTTGCATTACCTATGCATCACTATTGATGCCACTGTCTTAGGATATACTACAACTTGAAATGTCTTTGTTACAACTATTATTTATGCATTTGTAGATTATACAACCTACGCAGGGGTTCCCAAAGTGTGGCGCGAGCTGCCGCTAGGGGGTGCGCAAGGTGAAAAGTGTAATGGCTGCAGAGTTCAGAGAAGTCTGTCATGTGTCACCATTAGCGTAGAAACTCATTTGTGGGTGGGCCCAAGAAAAAGCAAGCGGGCCCAATAACTTTAATTGAAAACAAGTATATTTTCGCGCGTGTGTCCTCCGCATGTGCCCTAGCTTCATAATAACAATGCGCCGAGCTTCAGCACTCTGGCCTGCGCACGCCGATATGTTCCGTATTTGATCATTTTTAACGATGTTGGAGGAATCTGAAGGTGGTGAGTCATTCT